GCCTGTGACTCAGAGCAAGGCGACCGAGGATGGGTCGAGCTCACGAGGAGAGCGCGGTGGCAGAAGTCATGCGCGGCCCTCGTCCCATCCACTTTGCCTCCGGATGCCCTTCCTCGAAGGAACGCTGGTCTAGCCACGACGCCAAAAAACGCACCCACACGTGCTCAAGGGGCTTTGCTCGTCGAGCGAGCAGGCCAGTCCGATCTGTCTCCGTGTGCGCCGCATTTGTGTGGAGCGACAGGCAGGGCAACTGCAGCCGCCGCCGCAGTGCTATGAGCATTGCGATCGGGGGGCAAAGCAGAGCCAGCCTCGCTTGGGATGGCGCTGAGCCACGTGGCAGCATGCGGCCCGGACTGCGAACGCAGCATGGCCTGGGCAGGGGGTTGCAGGGCAGGTCTCGCGAAAGTGGGTAGAACAGGCGCGGGAACCGTGGTGCTACCAGCCCTGCACGCATGCAGCCGGCAGTAGCCGGTCATGCAGCGAGTTCTGCGAGGCACCTGGTGGCGGCGTCGGGGCGGCGCGTCCTCGAGCTGGGGCAGGAAGTTGAGGAGTTACTTCTGACGGATATCGCAGAACCACCAGATGTCTTGGTGTTCCTACCAGGGCTCCTCATTCCATGTTTCGCTCCTGTCGGTACTGAATTTCAACATAAACCATTATGGCAGATGAGGACGTACCTGCTGATGACGGGAAGATGTGAGCACGCCCCACTCAACCAAAAAGCTGAGCTTGAAGGTTCTTGGCCGTTTCACCAGCCAAATCAACTGAGCAGAAACACCGTGTCCAAAGCGATCGACAATTCCAAGCTGATTATCCAGATGGGAATGCCTCTCGCCAGAGCTTTGTCAAGCAACGAATTCGCCGTGCGGAGATGTTTTTCAATCCGGCAGTGTGCTCGAAACCCATGTTGCTCTTCTGGTAGACCTGCTGCCAACAAACTTTCCACGCCCCAAGATTCGCAGAAGTTTCTACAGCAAACACACATTGGCAATCTGCAGGGCGCAGCCGAGGACTGCCGGCACGCGACATCAATGGCAGTGCCGTCCCGGTCAACAGCCCCAGTCCGGGGCACCCGGTCCGGGAGAGGGGACACCAGGGTGATGTCGCAGCACAGAAGCTCCGTAGAGCAGCGCGTTCCAGGAGGAGCTCGCCGAGCCGGGAGCTCAACGTGCGGTGATTCTCCGCCAATTGCGGGACGCGGCGCCGCAACTCAGGCCAATTCGTGAGCAACGTTCACGGGGGGGGCCGCGTCCACGAGGCGCCGAAGGCTGCGGCGTGAAGCAGGGTGACCCTGTTCCAGCAACGACATGAACTAACATGCGGCGGTGAAGGGACCGCTTATTGTACTGCGCATGTTCAACCAACCCAATCTCAAAGTCTCGGCACGTTTCGGCATACCGCTTCGAGTGATGCTGCATTAGCAGCACCGGCGCCTCCAAGGTGGACAGGTCCATGGAGCGGAATCGGAACCGCTGCCGATCCGTCAGCTCCGCCCATGCTCATGACCTTTGTTCGGCCTTGTGACTGCCTTGTGCATCCACCGGTGTTTGGCCTCAAACGTACGTTGTCCGGCTTGGCAGCTTTCCGCATCTCGTGCCGTCGACCAGTCGCGCGAATTGCCTCGGTGACAAATGCGACCCTTCACAAACACAACGAAGACGCGTTTCATCCCGCAAGTCTTCCCATTCCATTGCTGTTCTCCTTCGGTGTGGCGTGTCGTCTTGCCAGGGTAAGCATTGAGCGGCTTGCCATCGTAAGTCCACCTCCCGCACACAGCTCCCTGCGCACAAGGCAAGCAACAGCTCTTGCAACATTGGCGTTGGCACTTAAGCCCCGTGGCGCAGTATCAGAGCGAGGATTTGTTTTGTCAGTTTTTTTGGTTTTTTTTTGTGATTTTTTTGTTTTTCCTTGCTTTTCTTATGGTTTTCTGAACATGCCCTCTGGTTCTGCCTGTCCTCCTCCTCTGGTTGGAATTCTTTTCTGTGTATTTTGCTGGTTTTTTTTTGTGAGTTTTGCTGGTTTTCAGCTTCCGCAGGTTCCTCAGCGGTACCGCATGTCCGGAACCTGACCACATCTAATAACCCTTGGGGTAGCAAGCCCCCCCCCCCCCAATTTGCAAACATGGTGCTCCCATGATGGGTTTGGACGGGATTCTTTTTGTCTTAAAGCAAGCTTGCGCGCCTTCAAAAAGCCGGGGGGGTTTGGGCCCCCCCCCCCCCCTCATTTGCAAAGCGATGTTTGCAAAATGAGTTTTGGGAACGATTCGTTGAACTAAAAGCACGCTTGCACACCGGGAATTCCCCCCCTCCAATTTGCAGACACAATCTCGCAAGATCAGTTTTGCAAGGGATTCGTATGGCCTAGAAGCACGCTTGGGCGGCTTATAAGAAAGCGGGGGGGCTGGGGGAGGGCGCAGCCCCCCCCCATTTGCAAACACAATAGTTTTCAAATGGGATTTGTTTGATCTAACAGCTAACAGCACGCTTGCACGGTTTTTAAACAAGCGGGGTTTGGGGGGGGGGGGGGCGGGGGGGGGGGTGGCAAGGCAAGGGGTTCGTATAACCTCAAAGCACGCTTGCACGGCTTTAAAAAAAGCGGGGGGAGTGCGGAGGGGCAGCCCCCCCCCCATTTGCAAGCACAATGCTCGCCCCCACATTTGCAAACGCAACACTCGCATGATGAGGCTTCATATGTGTCTTGAAGCAAGCTTGCAAGGCTTAAAAGCGGGGGGGGTTTAGGGGGGGGGGGGGGGACAGCCCCCTGCATTTGCAAACGCGACGCTAACAATGATGGGCTTGGAAGGGCCGGAGTGGTATATGGCCTTAACATGTCTTTAAGCCAGCTTGCACAGCTGGACCGCAGGACCGGTCTCTCCTGACCAGGGGAACGCAGGACCATTTGACCAGGATCGCAGGATCAGAGAACCAGAGGACCAGAGGACCACAGGACCAGAGGACAAGCCAGACCTAAGAAAAGGTAAAAGACAGAGCCAGACCTAGGCAAAAACAACACCGGACCCCGGCTAGAGCCGTAATCCCTTACCTCAAACACTCAAACCCTAAACCCTAATTACAAACCTAAATCCTTCGGGTGTGCTACTGCCCGGCCGCTGTGCCGAAGGGCGTTTGTTGTATTCTCACAGGTTCCACATACGGGCTTTGGGGGTCTAGGGTTTATGGTTTAAGGCGTAGGGTTTTTAGGGTCAACCAAGAACGTGCGAAGCGAGCGGAACCCTAAACTCCTTCCATCCTTCCTTTCTTCCTTCCTTTCTTTCTTTTTTTGTTTGATGTATTTCGTTCTTTTTCCGTCTTTCTTTATTTCTTTCTCTCGTTCTTTCTTTCTTTCTTCCTTTCTTTCTCCCTCACTTCCTTCCTTTATTTCTTTATTTCTTTCTTTCTTTCTTGCTGTATTTCTTTCTTTCTTCCTTTATTCCTCTCTTCCTTCCTTCATTGATTTCTTTCTTGCTTTCTTGCTGTCGTTGTTTCTCTCTTTCTTTCTTTGTTGTCTTTTCTTTCTTTCTTTCTTTCTTTCTTTCTGTCTTTCTGTCTTTCTGTCTTTCTGTCTTTCTTTCTCGTCCTGCCTTTCTTTCTTTCTTGATTTTTTCTGTCGTTCTTTCTATTCCTGTCTTTCTTTCTTTCTGTATTTCTTTCTATCTTTCTTTCTATTCCTGCCTTTATTTATTTCTTTCTTGATGTCTTTCTGTCCATTCCTGCCTTTCTTTCTTTCCTTCCTTGTTTGTTCTTCCTCTTGCTTCCTTCCTTTCTGTCTTTCTTTGCTTCTTTCTTTCTTCCTGTCTTCCTGCCTTCCTTCCTGTCTTTCGTGCCTTAAATTTGAGAAAAAAACAGGAAAAAAACACAAAAAAAAAAAAAAACAGAAAAAAAATCACAAAAAAAAACACGGCACCCGCAGTATCACGTGTGATGTTGTCCGTGCTAAATACGGTAATAAGAGGCATTGGTAACAGTCTGCCTGCGACCCTTTCACGGAGCTGCCTTCCGAATGGGAAGTCCAAGGGCTGAGCATGTCGATACGGCCTGTTATGTGACGCCAATTCCCAGATATCCTTCTGGTGCCAGCAGGGACATGCACCCGTCGTCTCGCTGCGCTCCTTCAGGCGGCATTGTTGATGCTCTTCCTGCGCAGGTTGCGGCTGCTCGTCGTGTGCTGCTGTGCCACGCTTGCAGCACAACCCTCCGCATACCCCAATTGGATCGAGCTACGCGCTATGCTGCCGACGGCTAGCCGACCGCGACAAGGTGTTTTAAAGTTCAAGCCCGCGCATGACGAAGCGAAATTTTTGTTCGTGCGGAGACCTTTGCGGCTGCAGTGCGGTTGGCATCGTTTGCCAACTAACCTGGACCTTGCCTTGCCTCGTACGATGATTCGCAAGCGCCAAGCTGTTGGCGATTGTTGGCGTTTCGACCGCTGGGCTGGCAACTCGTCATGCAGCCGACCGGTCAAGCGACTCACGCAGAGGAGAAATCCTGGGGGCCACTGCGGCCCGAATAGACGCTGGAACGGTCAAATGCAGGCTTTGGGGTCAGGGTTCAGGGTTTGGGGAAGTTCACACCATCTCCCGCCCTCTTCCTAAACGAGGCTCAAAAACGTTTCTATGATACACGCGGCCGGGCTCCTAAGTGGTTCTTCAGTAGTACGGAAGAAGGGACGTAGGTACCCTACAAGCCTTAAAGGAGTACTCTACGGCATGATGGGGGCAGGTTGCTCCGCAAACCTCTCTTCACTTCCCAATCTACAGTAAGGCAAGCAACAACAGCCCTTTAACTTCGACTGCTTCGGACATCGTGCCACTGTGCATCCAGAAGTCAGCGCACCCCACTCAATAGCCCGAGTTGGCCCTACAAGATGCTGTGGGAGTGCATTCTACGAAGCAAGGGCAGGATTCCTGGCTTTGCCAGAAATCTCAAGCCTGCCAAGGCAATGCCAGCTGAAATGGATCTTGCTCCGAAGTCTGTACAGTTCACTTCAGAGATCGAGACTTGCTACTCCGAATCTGAACATGACGCAGGCTGCGAGTCATCTTGGGTCTGAAATCGGGACGAGGCCTGCAACACCGCGTAGCAAGAAGCAAAACAGCTCTCGAGATGTGCAAGGTGCGCCTTCTCATAGCCCTGAGCCATGACACGATATGGCATGCCTCGGCTTCTTGAAGGACAGCACACACCCGCAATGCGAAGATGCGAAGAGGTGACTGTGCCCAGCACAACGCAAGCAAGCCCTAAAGTCCAAAGGGCTGGCACCACGGAGAAGCCCAATCTTCAGCCTCTTGCACACCGAAATGAGCTCTCTGAGTGCGATTTGCAAAATGGCTTCACATTGACCATTGCATCACAAAAGCACCTGCATGCATTGGCAAAGTTCATCAAACACCCGGCCTGTCAGGATAGTGTGTGCATTGCAGGCTGGCCACGACCACAGCGTTCCACACGTCACGCGCAAAATGGTGACCTGAAACAATCAAGCTGCATCAACAAGAACACCCGCAGCTCAAACGACCCTGAGCCTGCGCCTGTCCATTCGAACTACAACTCCTGCTGCGTAGACTCAGAGTCCTAAACCCTAAAACCCTAAACCCACCTTCCAGGATTCCAAGACAAGAAGCAATTGTGATAGGCGGTGTCATAGGCGCAGCTGGCCTGCCAGGGGTGCATCTGGGAGGAGTACCGGGGTACAGTATCTATACGGTCAGGTCTCTAAATTACGGTCCCTTTTGCGTACCCTAAATAACAGAAGCCACCTTTAAAATAAGGACCCCCAAAAGGAGCCATAGTTTAGGGAAATCACAACATGGTTTCTGTATGTCTCCGTAGTCGCGCGGCAGCGCGAACGTTTGGGGGTCTGGCCTTCATGCCGGCGACGTCCCGCAACTCTGCCGACGTCAGCTTCGGCTTCCTTTCCAAGCAATTTCTACGTGTCCTATGAGGCACATGGAGGTTTACGATATTCGGGATACCTTATTGGGGTCCGTACTTTTTGAAGGTCCTGCTACTTGGGGTTCTTAGGATTCTCGTAAACCCGCCACATGTTTGACAGCACAAGCCACTGTTCACTCAGCACAACTGCAAGACCTGGTTCATGGGTCAAAAATTCTGGCCTTGCTTCCGGCAAAAACCTTGTTTGAAAGCTGAGCGGCAGCTCACCCGCACGAGCAACTCTATCCTTGTAGATGGTGCCCTCGGCTGCTTGCTCACCTGCAACCACAGGAACCACAGGAACGATGGGAGAGTTTTCCCTGTCTTTCCCCAGTGTATGATCATTGCGAATCGGCGAATCACTACGATTAGGACGACCTGGGACCAAAGCGACTTTTTCGGAGGGCCTGGCCAAAACCAGGTGACCAAGTCATCGGAGCCCTCGAAGCGCTGGACGCGCATGGTTCGACCATCCTCCAGCAACGCATGCAGGAAAGAGTGCCTGCACCATCGTTGGGCACTATTTTATGAAAATGACTATTTTTATTCCGTATTGGATTTTAAGTATTCATAAAAAGCAAAAAGCATCTTTACGATGCCTTTCAAGAATGACCCTGGTGCGACGTCCAGCCACTGTGCTCCGGCCGACGCTCTTTGCGCCACTCGAGGCGACAGACATACGCTTCCCTGTGCAGCGATTGCAGCGATTCTCGGCCTTCAGCAGCTGGAGCTGCCTGGCGCTTGGCGCAGAGACTGCAGCCCAAGCCATCGCAAGCCAGGCATGAAGCTGACTGTGTAGCCGCCTCCGCGCTGCATTTTCGAGCACCTTCCACACCGAATTCGAGCGTGAAGCTGTCAGATCCGCTGCCGTTCGTGGCGACCACGGTGTACACACGATGTTCGGCGGATGCCGCTGGGGAGCCAAAGATAACGCCGGTGTCGTCGTCAATCCACAGGCCTTCCGGCAGCTCCGGCTGGACCGACCAGCTGCAAACACCACCTGCAGACTTCGGCAGCCAGCAAATCCTGGCCGGAGCGCTGTACCAAAAGAACACTCAGACCCTGAACTAGTCTGAACCTACACCGGGCGGCATCCCTTAGTCGTACCGGTAATGTCGTACAGGTAGCATATACAGCCCCGATCGAAAAAAATGTGCTCAACCTGCGATTCTGGTAACTTCTGGCCAACCTGGCACCGCGCCGTCTCCACAGAGACACCCGCGTACCTTCACTTGCCGGTCTGAGACGTGGGCTCGAACAAGGATGTTGGTATTTGGATGCCGAGGTGCTTCATGATTTTCGGAGGCAGTGTCCTCCCACTGAAATTCACGTCAGTGCCTCGCAAGACAAAGGCATGCTGACGCACTCCTTTTTGGGTGCACAACTGACCCTAAACCCTAAACACTAACCCTAAACCCTAAACCCTAAACCCCAAAACCCTAAACCCTAAACCCTAAACTCTAAACCTGACAGGCCCAAATGCCGGCAGGGGGCTGGTCATGCCAGCCGCATTGGAGGCAATGATGGTGTAGGGCTGGGCCCAAGCATCATCCTCAGAAACTCGAGGGGCAGAGACCCCCTGGTGCTGAGTAGGGAATGAGGAAATTAGGGGCCCTATATCTACATATATATATACATATATATATATATATATATATATATATACATCTACATATATATATATATATATATATCTACATATATATATATAAGGGATTCAAAAAGGCACCTCATTCCTTCATTCCCCACTAAGAGCCCGCCAGGCGGTGTCTCTACAGGGCTTCTCTGCAGATCCTACTGCAGCGCGCCTCCGGATCTTGGACGGGGCCCGTGATCTCACCAGAAGTCCGGTCTAGCTTCCTGAGAACATGAGATACATGATAGAAAGTGTAATTTAAAAAAGAAATATATATGTATATATACTATATATGGAGAGAGAGAAATATTATATATATAGAGAGAGAGAGAGAGAGCTATCCATCTATCTATCTATCAGTCAAAAACCGAGACTAAGTCAGATGGGCCTTATTGGGACCAGTGGCAGGCACGAAGGCAACGATGGCGTCGCCATGAAACGCACCGTGGCCTTGTTGCAGCCTGTGCTCGACTTCTTTGGGGGTGGGTGGGGGGGGGGGTCTGGAGGATCACACGGAACACATCCACAGACATACGATATTTAAGAATTCGTTTGCATGTTGTATACTACTTTACAAACAAACACACACACACACACACACACACACATATATATATATATATATACATACATACATACATACATACATACATACATACATACATACATACATACATACATACATACATACATACATACATACATAGAGACATACATACACTGTATGAATTCTGTATTAAATATACTTTGTTCTTATACATTGCATCTTGGCAGAGGGCGCGCCTTTCAGCGTGGGCTCCAGGTTGATGCACTCGAGGGGCCAGGTCCCCAGGCCCAGGCCATCGTAGGTCAGTTCCGTCGGGGCGGTCATCTCCAGTAGCCAAACTTTGAAGCTGCCTAAGGGTTTAGGGTTTAGGGTTTAGGGTTCAGGGTTTAGGGTTTAGGGTTTAGGGTTTGGCAATTGCCCAGCCTACGTCCTGCAGCACCGCCTTGGCTGTCTGCAGCCCAGCTCGAAGGTCTCCCAGCCGTGGATCCTGGGCATGCTCCTGGCTGGTTCTTTAGGGTTTAGGGTTTAGGATGTTTAGGATGTTTAGGATGTTTAGGATGTTTAGGATGTTTAGGATGTTTAGGATGTTTAGGATGTTTAGGATGTTTAGGATGTTTAGGATGTTTAGGATGTTTAGGATGTTTAGGATGTTTAGGATGTTTAGGATGTTTAGGATGTTTAGGGTTTAGGGTTTAGTAGGGAATGGGGGAATGAGGTACCCTATGTAGTCCCTTAAAAGGGTATATCCCTACTAAGAACCAGGGGGCTGGTGGACTCATCTGAGACGGCGAACGGGGTTTGGAGCTTAGGTGATCTTGGGGCGTCTTTAGGTTGAGCGGGTGCTTGTTTGTGTGCTAGGGCACCGGGTCATACATGAGGGCTTTTCTGCTGGCTGGCACAATGTCCTCGGAGAGCTGAACCCGATCCAGGGCATTCTGGTAGCGCCAGAAGTACCTGTTTAGGGCTTAGGGTATCTCTCCCAACATCTCAAAGTAGCTGCCCGCCTCAAACAACAACAGATCCGGGCAGATGTGACATTGGGGGGTTTAGACTCGAAAGATCAGAGCTCGACAGCGCCGTGCTTTCTCGCCATCTCGGATGGGCCACACTTTTGAAATCTGCGTTGCGGAGTACCGCTGACGGGTTCGACCATCGTCTGATACGGCCGGGTATGTTCCTAAAATAGGGGGTGCCCGTCATACGCCCCTCCGAACACGATGGATCCTTCTTATAGAGGAAACCACAAAACGCCTACCCCCAACCTGGAGGTTCAGGAGGGTACTTGTCACCAAATCATAACTGCACCCCGAAGTCCTCTAGGTTAGAGAAGTAGACTGATGATTTGGGGCTCGAAGTACCCATGAACCTCCAAGTACTTCCGGATCTACAGTCTTGAGCCAGGCGCTCGCAGGATCCCCCGAAGACGTCCTCCAAGAGGGATCGGTCGCCCCGCGCCTGGGCTAATTGAGGGTTTAGGGTTTAGGGTTTCGGGTTTAGGACTTAGGGTTTAGGGTTTACGGGACTCGGTGAAGGACGTTGAGATCACTCCGTGCTATGACTTGGTCCTGTATGTGATGTTATTGTGTCATTCCCCACCCTCGGTGTGGGGTTGTTAGATTTTAAACTCAACTCGTCTCCTCGCCCGGAACTCTTCTCCTCGCCAGGTCTACTCCTCAGTGGAGTGCCCAACCCCAGAGTCTCCCTGGAGTGCCCAACCAGAGTGTCCCCGCAGTGCCCAGCCCCAGAGTCTGGAGTGCCCAAGTTTAGAGTGTCCCCAAGTGCCAAGCCCCAGAGTCTCCCTGCAGTGCCCAACCCCAGAGTCTCCCTGGACTGCCCTGCCCCAGAGTGCCCAACCCCAGAGTATCTCTACCAAGAGAGGGTGGGGATGTTCGAAGTAAAATAATTATATGATATTTTCGTATAATATGTCTTTTGTGTGTCATGAAATAATATTAAGTACTATAGAGTATTAATACTATTGTAGACGGACCCCAAATCACACGGCTCTGAATTGGCCGAACTAAGCTGCGATGCATTCAATGCCAAAGCTTCCGAGCTGCTGCCTTGGCGAGTAAATCTCGGGCCGCTCCAAGCTCCTGTCGCGATCTTGAGACTTGTGACATCGTGTGGCCTCCTGATACCTTCTGCGGAAACTCTGGCGGTCCTTCAAGACCTCAGTCTCAGCAGCCTTCCGCCGAACACCAGCTGTCTGGGCACAAGCCACATGTCAGCCACGAGATCATTCACATCCGCATAGCTTCATTCCAAAGCAGTCATGAAGAAATTGCGCTTAGATGCCTTGCACATGTCGGACCAACCCTCAGCCCTAGTGAGATACTGTAAGACCATCAACGCACCCCACACCCGTAAAACCCCATATGGATCCCCGCAATATCCGTCGAGTCCATTCCACCCACAGCTCACTGCGGCCACGCAGCTGCGTCCGCATGTCGCTGCAGGCTGTGCTCCAGTCTGACCAGCAGGTCTTCAGCTTCTGCTCTGGTGTAGGACATGGCCGCGCTGTGCCACGCTTCACATTCAGGCCAACAGTAGTAAGGAGCTTGTGGTAGATCTGGGAAAACCTTAAGTTCATCCTACAAACCCTAAACTTGCCACCGTGTTCGTCACGTTAATGTCCACGCATCTGCCTGAACCAAGGCAACCAGTGATTCTCCATAAGCTGTTGGTTCAGAAGCACTGCGATATCATGTCTTACTACATGGGCTCGCTGCTTACCTGTGACTAGCTCCACTGCATCGCTGCATCGCATCGAGTAGCACGGAAATCAGCCAAGCCGGCTGCAAGGGGCAAGGGCTCTTCGTCTAAGAGTGCAGAGTCTTCAGTCGGATTGGTCTTGCGATTTCGCGGATGTTGGGCTAGGAGCATATCCACAGCAACTTCAAGGTCCAGTGCATTCTGCAATTCGCTCTTGTCCTGCACACAGCAGTCTCATTCGCTCATATTCTTTGGAGCTTAGGCTTGGGCTCATCAGCCACTTACTCCCCGCATCAGAGGGCACCACATTGGGTTCCCTCGGAGCGGGAGCTTCTTGTCATTCTCGAAGGGCTCGTCGGCTCTTGCCGAAGCTGTTGTCAGGGCTCTTTCATGCTCTTCCTCTGTCTGCTCCTTGCACCTGCTGAGCATGACGAAGCGTCCCATGATGTCAGATGGGTCACCCGGTCATCAGGAAGACCAGTGAAATCACCAGGGCACAGCTTGGCCGTCTTGGCCAAAGGGTGTACCCGACAGAGGTCTGCGCAACCCCAGGCCGAGGAGTCACGGAGGTAGTCGTGCTCCCGGGGGTTGTAGTAGTGGCTTGGCCCACCCCTGACGATGGATTGAAGGTCATTGCAAAGTCTGCAAAGTGCACAGTTGGGGCCCGTCTTGACAACGCAAACACACAACTCTCTTCTGTCTTTGTTTGCGTAGACGTGCTTGAACAGTATGACCTCTAATCCGGCGTGGCTTCGGGCGTGAGTGTAGCGTAAAGCAAGTACCCCACCTCCAATCCATTCCAGGTTCCTTACCCTGCCTGTTTTGCGGTTTGCCTCCATTAGTTGCCGCTTTGCTTGGACGGCGCATCAGAACCAGGAGACCATTCGGAGCTTTCTCGTCCAAGACAGCATCTCAACACTGCCTACTTTCCGGCAGCGCCCCAACTCGTCCCTCCCTACCAGCAGAGCTGCTCCATGAGGCTCCATGCTCATCCCCCGCTCTTTTCAATGAAGCCTCAGCATTCCTCGACCCTCATGTGCCCTGCTGTTTCTGGCCTGGAGGGCGCAGCGTTGATGTTGATGTGGGAGTTGTGCTGGGTGGCAGCGTTGGGTAGGTATCATCCGTACCTGCGCCCATGCAGCTCGTCCCTGCACTCATGCTGCACTCTGAGCTCAGCAATCAGTAGGCGAATCATGTTCGGAACCCATCAAAAATCAGGGAAGCCTAGCACGGCTTAGCAAGGCTGGTCATGCCGAGCAGCTGTTCCCAGGCATACGTGCATAGCAGCTGAGAGAGCAAAGGCCCTCTGTTGGCTCTGGATCTGATAGGTGCTGACATGCACTCACATTCTGAGCAAACAGGAGTGACACCACGTACTCCTCGCAGTTGGTGATGTAGGAGAGGCCACTGGTCTGCATCAGCAGCGACACCTTACGGAGCGGCTAAGAGAAATTCTTGGATGACGCAGGCAGATTACAAGGCTTCTTGTGATGAGGCAGGGACGTAGAGGTTTTGATTGCGACACCGTGCAGCACATGCTTGTCCAGAGATACAGCAGGAGTTCGATCGGCGACCGCTTGTGGCAGCTGTAGAATTATGCAAAACACAATCGAACTTCGAAAACTCGGCGTGGTCTGCCGCATAGAAGGTGAATGCAAGACAGTCTGTGCTGCTTGAGCACAAGGAGGCACAAATATCGGCATTGAGCACGGCCCGCCATTTGAAAAGATATCCAGCGACATCCTCATAGACCACCCCCTGTTCGACTGTGCACTGAGGGGTAGCAGGCACCAATTCCGTCCTGCGAGCTAACTCAGCTGCAGCCACGGTAGCGTGGCTTCGTCCACCGACTGACAGGCCACGTATCGCAGCACTGGAACAAGACCGGCAGCTTTCCGGACAAAGGGCCTGCACCAGCCGTATATCGGGATCGGTCGCTTCCTCCTCTCGCTTCCCATCATTCCATGACGACCAGCAGTTGCCAGGCTGATGGCCAATGAGTTCCGAGCAGCTGGAAGTTAGCGAAGCATCAGCGTCCGGAAAGATGCGGGATAGCTGAGAGTCTAAATCCCGACAATCAGACGCGCAGGCGCGGCCAGAGCTGCATCTGCCGGGGAATGGGCTTCGGTCATCAGGCACCTTTTGGAAGGGCGTAAGGTTCTCTTTGGTTCCAAGCTGGTGTTCTTGACAGTGGGGGTTGGGGTGGGGAGGAACGACCTAAAGGCCTAAAAAACACCCGAAGTTTGGGCGCTTGGGCACCTCTCGGACTGCATGCAGCAGCATGCAGAAGTCCACCGACAGCCCAACCTCGTGCGAAGTCTCGTCGGGCTTGCAGAAGATGAAGGCTTCGCATCCCTGAAGGGCCGCCCCGGCACAAAGTGCCGCGCATGCTTCGGTGGAGTTCACTTTGCCAGCCATCTGCTGGAACATGGAACCGGAGAAGGGCACTGTCTCGGAGATGCTGCAATCCTGCGTCTGAGAGTCAAGCTGCAGTGAAGCCTCACATGTGTTGAATCCTCCTCGTACTGCGAGGATTCCGAGACTCCACAGCTTCAGGCTCAGCAATACATCATGGCCGGCCCGCATGGAGCACGTGTTCATGCCTCTCAAAAACTCAAACTGCTCTTGCTGGCTGGGTCTTGATGTTGGTGCTGGGCTTCAATGGTTCAAACTGCACGTGCTGCAGATGCTGCTGCCGCCACTTTCCTGATCCAAAACAGCTGGGCAAGGCCCCTCCCTTGCATAAGCCCTTGCCTCTCCAAGACACTCCGTGCTGATGCAAAACATGCGATGTGCCCAGTCTGATAGCTGTCATGGCAAGCGCACTTCCTCCTCGCGCGTTGAATCCATGAGGAGCAGATCGACACCAGTGGAGCTGGGAGCACTTGCCCCGGGAACCTTCGGCAACCGCGGCAGCGACCACTTCGTGTGCCCTCTGCTCGGCCTGGGTTCTGATGCCTTGCCTCGCTTGCCGATTTTCGGTTTAGGGCTTAGGGTTCTCTGATGGTACATGTGGCAAGGCAAGGCTGGACAATCTCTGTCAGCAGCTACTACAGCCGCTTTGATGCCTCACTAAGTGAAGGATCTGTGCATGCCGCAGTGAGTGCAGACACGACCCTCCCACGCATCGTGGGTGTTCCTTGCATTTGTTCCTGCAGAGCACCCGCGCATCGAATTAATAACGAGTGAGGCTTCCAGAGCAGTTGAAAGTCAGCGTTGGCAGACAGGGTTTCCCACGTCTCCACCTGGGTCTGGACCAGTGTTGCACAGAAACAGTTGCAAACCCAGGCATGACGTAGATCTCGACTTCAACACATGAGGAACTCTTCATCAAAACAGGCGCAGACCCTTGCCTCAAGTATTATAGCTATTCCCCCTGGCGGCTTCGAGTGCTCTTGTTTCTTAAATGCTTTGGATTCGAACTTCTGTGTTGCGTGACAGTTTTGCAAATTAGCACGTGCCAATGCAAAAGGAAATACTCGCGCAATCGGGAAGCCGACGCTATGGGTACTTTTGCCTCCCCAGCTGGAACTATAGCCATCAGAAGCATCACCAGTCTGCTGGATTGAAACCTCAGCTCTGGCAACACAAGCGTCTAGCGTTGCAAGAAGTCGTCTTCGACCAGATGCAACAGGAACTGCCCCGAAGAAGGAGCATACAAGATCTGAGGATGGCAACGTTGGCATCTCACGACTTGGCCCCTTGTTGCCTGAGCGACACAGCTGGCTTTGGGGGGAGACCCTGCAAAAAGAGATGCCCTGGCCCTGGCCAGTGTCTGAGATCTGCGCTTTGCCCAGTTGCAGCAGCAAGCCGTTACACTACACGCAGCTCCCTTTTTTTGCCCCGAGCCAACTCCTCTGCAGTCAAGCTAATGGAAGATTCTCAGTGGCGGGCGGTAGGCCTCGCCTTGACCGGCGTGGCAGCATTGTTCGGACGCTTCTGCTTTTGAACCTGGACCTCCACGCACTCCTGCACTTGTGAGCTCACCTGGCTCCACTTCAATTACAGCGCGATCCGATATGTTCCTGGTGCTGACGGCCGGTCGCCCACACACCACAGGTAGTCGTCGCTCACGCCAGCTTGCAAACCCCCACGTCGCACATCGGGTGGGTTGATGAGGAGAGAGTTCGTCCACTCGTCCCACAGCTCTCCACGCATGCGGTCGTTGATGTACTGAAGGATCCTCTCGACGAGAGCCTCCGGGCGATAGTACTCGAAGGGCTTCAGGACGTCCTTCTTCTCCTTCTTCGGCTTTGAGTCGACATCATCACGGAGGTCTCTTCGGAGAAGAGCCTGGGAGAAGAGGTTCATTTGCAGGTGCAGGCCTGTTCAGCGTCCATCGCTTGGCTGTGGAGAAGACGTAGAGGCGGAGGCATCTCAGGATGAGCACCTGCAGGAGATGGCAACCCTGTCGTGCCCACGGGGCTGCTCTGTGTGATGCCGGTGGAAGCATCTCGGTATGAGCATTTGGAGCTTCTATCTGCTCCAGGCGGGCAGGAGCAGACGCCGTCGCTGCCTCACTGGGATTGCTGTGCTCCTTACTGGAGACAGAGTCTGCTGTGGTGCCAAGCACTTCTATGCTCCAGCGCTCCCCAGGCTTCAGAAAAGGATCTTTGGCCTCCTGTGTAAGCTCCCCTGCATCTTTCCGTGGTCTGTCTCAGCCTGTTATGAAACACTTGAAAGGGTCAAACTACAGTCCCAGGGTAACCCCTGCAGTCCCAGTCTGCAGGACGACCCTAAATCTTCAACTGAAACAACCCGAGTTTCAGGTCACAACTGGTCACAACTGGTCATATCAGGCACGGTAGCTCACAGCTTCACAGCACGGCAAGAAACCAATTACATCCATTACATCAGCCCTGGCCAGTCTCTGAGATCTGCGGCTTTGCCCAGTTGTAGCAAAGCACGCCGCAGAGGCAAATGAAGGTTCCTGAGCTGCGCACGCACGAAGACCCACCCTTTTCCTGACTCACATAATGCCTGCCGATTGCGACAAGTCTTCCTGCCTATGTGTCTGCGTTTCTGTTCTTCAGGGCATTAAGAAAAAGAAGAAGCTGGAACTAGCGGCATGACAATGCACCCATATGCACCCTCCCCCTCGTCTGTTCGGGGCGACAGATCGACTTGCAACGAGCGTACAACTTGGAGATCAGGAACTACATCAATCAGATGCTCTCAAACTGCCGCTCTCTCTTAAAGCAGCTGCATTGCATCCCTTGACACTCGTCGCCAAGCTAAATGGTTCGAACATCCCAAGCTATGGCGAGGAGCCCACTCATATTTCAGGTGCTTCTGTAGCTACGTCTCTCTCGTTTATCGGTTTCTCTCCTCTCAGTCCTGAAGCCTAGTCTGCGCAAAACCCCCTGAGTATCTGGCCAAGCTGTGTCAGCGGAGTCACTTGGTTTCCGAAGACCTGGTGCTACAAAGAATCTGAAGACCGAGTTTATCATTGTGGGGGTATGGGGCTTTATGTAATGAAACAACACCTCTGTCCGAAAGCAGACCTGCACGCTGATGCAGATGATCAGTGCACGCTTCAGCGTGTTTACAACCTAAGTGAGAAATAACAACTGGTGATAGAAAGTCTCGACACCTGTGCAAGCAGCGTTGTCCAGGTGCCAATGCCAAGAGCCAGGCCGAAACGGTGACTGGAGACAGGTACGACCTTTGAGGCGCGCGGGGGGCGGGAAGGGACACGGCTAAACTCATCTCTTCTGCGTCTAGACAGCATTCGACACTGAAGACTAGGCCACCGACATTACGACATAGGCAATGACTGACTGCACATGATACCTTAAGCAGGTGGATCAGCACGCCCTGCACATTTAGAGCTGAAAACTTCTGGCCATTCATGGCTGCGGTCGCAAACTGGCACGGAGTGAAAGCTTTGTTGCTGCGTCAGAGGCCGCAGCAGCACGCCGTCTATCCACAGGAGGAAGAGCAAGTTCCTGTCCCTGCCAAGTAGGATTTGCATGCTTCAGAATGCTCCAAAACATTCCAAAACATGTTGGAGACGCGGCAAGGAATCCGTCCAACTCCTCAGCAAGGCCAAAGTCACAAAAGGAGGCTTCGTGCTTCGAGAGGGATCTCAGAGCCCCGACCCCTCGATGACTTCCTCCCGCGAGGCAGTGACCGCACCCTGATTCACTGAGACATGATACGTGGTATGAAGCATTTTGCACCGAACTCAAGCGTCAGAAGCAAAGAGTGAAGCCTGCCCGAGCTTTCAGCAATAAGCCCTGCGCCAGAGTCCTGTTGCCGTTCAAGCCGACGTGGGCAATCTCATGGTGGTGGGAGTGGGATGCCTTCGGAACATTCGTCGCTTCTTCATATCGAAATCTTTGAGGAATATAGACGCTTTATCATATGCATTATTATTGATTAATGACTTAAGTAAAGATGTGTTTAGAATACCATCATCTTTTCTATCATATTTTCAGTCTGTGCACTCTGAGAATTTGGGTATAGCGCTCGTGAGTCCTACTAACTGTTCGTATGAGCATCAAGGCTGGACAGAGCTTCAGAGCTTAGGGTTCAGGGTATAGGGTTTTGGGGTTTAGGGTTTAGGGTTTAGGGTTTAGGGTTTACTCCAACCGCAGTATCGAGTCTTGCAAACAGCAGCTGAGATCCTGACACCCGGCTCGTGCGTGACAAGGAAAATGGGCGCCTGAGCTGCAAAAGCTGGCAGTCCTTCAAGTGCAATTTTGCGGAGCCTGCATCACCAAGGCAGTCAGTGAGGTGTAGAACTGCAACCTGGTAGGTCAGGGATGAAGGTTTCGGGTTCCAGGGTTTAGAGTTTAGGGTTTAGGGTTTAGGGTTTAGGGTTTAGGGTTTAGGGTTCAGGGTTTGGGGTTTAGGGTTTAGGGTCCCTGTGCAAACAGGCCGGGCAAGCTGGGAAGCTGTGTACTCACTGGCCAACAGCCTGAACAAGAACAACACAAAGCTGCTTCCCAGGAGCCCCTTCACCTTGAGCAGATGCAGATTTACGACCAATCCACACAGCTCGCCAAACTGCGACAGCCTTTTGCTGAAGACGTTCTGCACACATTCAATGATGTTGGTCAGCACAGCAGCTCCAAACCCAACCTTTACAGACTTCAGCATGGAAGTGAGCTCGAAACAGGTCAAATACAAGGCTCATCCTTTCAAAAGCGCCGGGATCCAAGCTATATTGAAGGAAAGCTCTGTGGAGGAGACCAGCACCTTCCAAGGACCAAAACCCTGAGGCTCTGAAGGCCCCCCTGGTTCTTAGAAGGGAATGAGAGAATCAGGGCCCTACATATGCCCTTGAGGGGATTGTATAGGGTACCTCATTCCCTCATTCCCTACTAAGAACCAGCCAGAAGTCTACATCTGCGATCAGATCTCATCTCTTAAACATCACACTTCTCTCGTCGACGTTCTAGGTTTGTCCAACCCATGAGCAAAAGAACGCGACTTGCTACTGCTCGTTTGTTTGGAGAAGATAGTCAGAATTTCCTCTATACATGTAGCCAAGGAAAGCGGTAAAAAGAATGCCCCAAAAACTTGGGCCCTGCGTTAAGAACTCTGGCAAGTGTCGATGCTGCATACTACTGCCAGCTGGGCGCCGAACTAGTCCTCCTGCAACCGGTATAAGGGATGCCATAACCTGAGCGACAGAGCAACAAGATTGTTGCCAAATTCGCAGAGACTACCAAAAAAGAACAGCTACTCAGAGATAGCTGTGGACCATCATGGCCTTAAAGAAGCCTCCTTCCAAAGTACTGGACTGGAACAGGAACAGTAAAAGCCAACGGCAAGGCAAAACTGTTGGGTGCAACTCCTGCCTGAGGACTGTTTGTATCATATATGATAGACAATATTGTAAGATCCCATATGCAATAGAAATGTATATCATGCATGCGTGATGATTAAAAAAACATAATATGCATGTACATCCACGTCTCATACACATGTACCCCATACGCATCTGCAGATAAAAATGGCACACGCGCGCGACACATGCAATACGGATCATATTGCTGTATTCAAATATTGCAGTGTTACAATAGACAATGGATGATATATTAAATGCACAATATAATACAACATGTAACGTGATACATCTATGTATATATATATATATATATATAAGATGTACAGCGGGTATGAATTTTCAGAATACGTTTAATTTACAAAATATAATTCACAGTATATATAATTCACAGTATAGAGAAAGAGAGGGAGAGAGAGATAGAGAGAGAGAGATATATAAATATATGTAACGCTTCCAAAAAAGGCGAAGAGCTTGACAAACTGCGGGGTGCATGCATGAGGGCGTCGCTAACCGGTTCTGCCACAAATTTCCCAGTGAGGTGCCCCGCTTCCCCACTTCTTGTCACAGGTAGCAGTACCAGTAAGACCGATGAAATAAATTGCAAGAATGCGCCATCTGCCAGGGGGACAATCGTAAACAGATTCCAGACTTCTTCCTGGGTAGCTGCCTCAGACCCCTCGGTCACTGCGCCCCGGGGCTCCTGCTGACAAGCCCGTTCTCTCGCCTGCAGAACAGATGAACAGAAGACTCAAAAGGCACTTATTGCTCGAGTTGCGGCTCCAAGCCTAGCATCAGGTAGGCGACAATGACGGTGAAGAACGGGGCGGATGCCTGCTCCACTCAACTCATCTCGCCACATTGAACCAAAGGCCAACACATAAATCCTGCCCCTTTCAAAATAACACCCTGACACCAAGCTTGCACGCGAGGGGGAAGCAAGCACGTACAGCTTGGCCGGACATGACACCCCCTCCTTGATGGTCTCAGTAAACGAAGCTGCAACGTACTTGAGACCTCTGCAAGGGCCACACAGCTGCAGTGGGCAGAGTTAGCAGAAGGGTCTGCCGAGCGCCGAGCTGACCAAGCCAAGCACCACCGTTGAAAACTGCACAGGGGCCAGAGTAGAGATCGGGGTGGGACATTGCGCAAAAGCATACAAACAGCTTCTCCGGTTTCAGAAGCTCATGGTCTTCGCTTTGAATGACAGTAATGGCCATCACAGGCCAAGGTCAGGCAAAGTGCTCTCAAACTCGTCAGTGGGCACGAAGACCCAAGCCCCAGGCCCTAGGAATTGCCAGCTTGATATCAAAAGCAGCCCAAGCCCAAGAAATCCCACCCTAAACCCTAAACCCTTAAACCCTAAAACCCTGAACCCTGAACCCTAAACCCTAAACCCTAAACCCTAAACCCTGACTCGGAACCAACCGGGGAAACACTCAAATGCGCGGAGCAGGCCCGCATCATGCCGACGAAGCCCATCTGTATGAGGCTTCTTCGCCACCGCCTCCCCTGACATTGGGTCTAGGCTTTAGGGTTTAGGGTTTAGGGTTCAGGGTTCAGGGTTCAGGGTTCAGGGTTTGGGGTTTAGGTTTTAGGGTTGGGGTTTAGAGAGCGCATGTCCATGTAGGAATTTAGTGCGTGGAGCTTCGTGGCCCCTTTTTCTCTACGCCTAGTCCTCAACATGCCTCAAACATACAAGTACAGAAGTGCATACCGTACATAAGCGAAGGCAGTCTGTACCACAAAAAAATATACTTATACCACGAGCCAAGTCTATACTTTATGATATATGGGGGTTTTACGAAAATCGGGACCCCCAACATAAGACCCCAAATAAGAGGATTTCCTTAGAATAAGGACCCCAATAAGGTACCCCTAGTTTCAATAATTTCGGAAACCCCCCATATGGGTACTTCCCAAAATAAGGAACCCTTCTTGTGCCCCAAACAAGGAGCCCCCCCCCCAGAAAAGGGTACCCGTATTTTCGGAAACCCCCATATACCAGCAACTGGGGTCCAAAAAACCCGAAACCCTAAACCCTAAACCCGAAACCCTGAACCGTAAACGCTAAACCCCAAACCAACTGGACCCCAAAGATCCGTGAGCCTTGTTACCCAGGCCATCGAGGTGGTCCGAGGTGTCTGGCGATTCTGGGTCCGTGACAGCCTGACATGGCACACAGGTCCTGCCCCAACATGTGTTTAGGGTTGAGGGTTTAGGTTTAGGGTTTAGGGTTTAGGGTTTAGGGTTTAGGGTTTAGGGTTTAGGGTTTAGGGTTTAGGGTTTAGGGTTTAGGGTTTAGGGCTTAGGGTTTTGCACCGACAAAACATCCCGACAACCTGACTTCGGTGCCTTCCGGACTCCATTCTTTTGGGCCACGAGGAGACTTCGAGCCTGCATGGCTCAGTTCTGGCCATCTCTGCACGGTCCACTTGAAGGTTCATGGTACTCATTAACCAACTATCGCTGTACTTATAACCCACTTCAAGCCCATTTAAAGCCCCTCAAGTGCAATAATATGGCCATAAGTTCAGCTATCAGTACAGTGAAAATTGGCTAATACGTACCATGAACCTCCAAGCAGTGCTTGTCGCATCGGAGCATGCCTCTCGTGCCAGCCGCGTCAGGTCTCCCAGCTTCAGCGTCTTTAGCGCGCCGTAGATGGCGGTCGAGACCTGGCGCTGCATTCAAGGGTGGCCATGCATTGGCCCAAGAGACGTCCTTTCAACTCAAGGACAGCAGAAGTGCTACTGTAAGCCCCCCACCATTTGCACCGCCGCCAAGGTGTTGGGCTGAACGTAGAGGTAGCCCATGAGGTACTGGAAGAAGGCATGGAGACATGGGAACGTAAGGAGCATGTACAAAGTGTTCAGGAGCGCCAGCAGGCGTAGCTCACGAACCTTTAAACATCGTACAACAGTCCCTCCGCTTAGGTCTGGCCACACTGGTGAAAGAGCAGTCTCGCGAGTCCCTCCCACCGAATCCCTCCGACTCACCCCAGCAGTAACAGCTGTCTCTCCTTTTACACAGGTATGTAGTGAGCATAGGACGAGACACGTTTCCTCTTACTGCCGCGGAACGATCCCATCAGACTGGCTGTGTCGACCTGCTTTCTTCAAAGGCATGTCGCTGGTCAGCATTTAATCGCCCACGGCTCCTCTGCTTGCGAAAAGCTGGCGATGCCTGCGGGTGCCCTCTCGAGGCGGCTGCATGCAATTGCAGGAGACATCTGCGTAAGTCCTAAAGGCCGGACGTCAGTCACTCACGTCCATCTAGGACTTACGCAGAAGTCTCCTGCAACTGAATCAAGGAAACTCTTGGCACCCCAGGCCGCTTCGGCATCGGCTCAGGAAACTTGAACACAACCACGATCACGGCAGCATTGTCCGACTTGCTCACTTTTCCCCATTTTGCAGGATAGCCGCTGCAGCATCCTCCGGCTTTGCCGTGGTTCGGAGTGCCTTGCGGGCATGCGTCAGAGCAAACTGTTCTTTCAGATCTTTTTCGCTCGGGCTCGTTGCTGCTACCCTTCACCTTGCTGCTGGCGCCGTATCGACAGCCCTAGTAGGCGATGTGTGCGCCCCGACTGCTCTCGATACAGCCACGTGCTCCTCAACGTCGACGTAACATGACGTAACCACCCTGAAACTTTGACATGCAATTGAGGAAGCAGATCGTTTCCAGAAACATTTGCAAACGCTCTGCTTCCGCGGCATGCTTATCCGGGATACGGTCACGCGAAATCGCCAGGGCTGTGCCATCTCTGGACAACACGGCCAGGCAATCGCCCAGGTTTGCAATCCACATGTCCGCACCTTTGACCAAGCCAAGGCAGGCTACCGTACCCAAAGATGTCTCCACGTGAGGCATTCACTTGTTGTCAACTAAGTGTTCGATGACTTCCTCGTCCACGGTTCTGAGGGCGCCCTTTCGCCACCGTGACCGCTTGACTCCCTGCGTGTCCATCGTAGACTGCAAAGAGCCTGTATCCAGCAACGTCCTCCGTGATGTCCACGGCATCCTCAATTTAGCCAGAATCACCTCGTCCAGATTCCTCTTCCGGGAGGCGGCCAACCCGCTTCCATAAGACGGTATGTGGTGGCTGTTGAGTCAGCTATGCACCTGCTTCGGTAGGGACCTACCGAAGCAGGTGCATAGCTGACTCAGCAGCCACCACATTCCGTCTTATGGAAGCGGGTTGGCGAGTGCACCTACAGCTGTAGCACCTCGATCCGAGCACTGTGATGCAACACAGATGTGTGATGTGGGCATGACACTGACTGGAGAATCCCGACCAGGCAATGATCCCGGAACCTCCTTTTTTCTTCCAACACCGATGCTCGGAAGGCGACCTAGTGCGCATGCCCTGGCTTGGGTCACAGACACAACCGCACACGCATACCAGGTGGAGCTACTGGCTCCACAGAAGTCCTTGTTCAGCAGCAAAGTACCGAACGAAGTGAGGTACCACCTTGGAAGCCACAACGGAGGGCAAGCAAGCAACCATGTCAGACATGCCATTCAGGTTTGTGAACTTCTGCTGCAGTTTGTCTTCGAGGTACACAGGCGAGCTGGGCACCCCACACAGCTATGCTCACACTGACTGCAACCACGTCAACCTTACGTGGAGAAGCCGGGCGACACAAGTTTCACAAGCACAGATACATAGGACCACTTGGCAACAAAAGAGCCCTGGCAACCATCAAGGCAGTGTGCTGGGTCCTTCTCGCCTGCCTGCATCCTACTGACATGCTGCTTTTCAATCTACTCCGCCCGCATGCAGACTCTATTGCATGAACTCGGCATACATGTAGTTAAAAATGCTTTCTACTTGGGCTGTGAGGTGCACTCGACAAGGCTTCCCAAAAGACCGAACTTAACTTTTAGATGCTTCACAAACACTACGGGATGCAATTTGAGTCTCCAATCCCACGAGGTTTAGCAGAGGCAGGCACCATTTCTGCCGATTGCAATGGCTGCCTGCTGTTAACCTTGGACAGCAGCCACCGCCAGCTAAGTTGGAAACGCAGCTCATGCAAAGATCCGCCGACCCCGCTGTTGGGTCGAGCGCCGGGGAAGCCCTTGCATGGCAAGTAGCCTTCAGAGCTGTTGTCCGGCCGCCCCCTCCCACCCCCCTCCCACCCCCCTCCCACCCCTCCCACCCCCCAGTCAAGGCGATGGCTCATGGTCTAGGGGCCCGCGGCTCCGGAGGTTCCAGTCAATTTGACAGTTTGCAAGAACCTCATCATTGAGTTTCTCTACATGATCCCAAACCGCCGGTTGTTTTTTGTGCGGGGTCGGCGGCAGCGGCATCAGCCCTTAAATCCGGCCTGGCCGTCGTGGTCCAGTGCGGAGCACGGCTAGCCTAAAGGCTTGCCTTTATGCGGGCGCGGCCCGTGCCGCCGACCCGCCCTGAAAATGGCATGTCTCCTTGCATGAGGCTCCGGGGGGAGCCCCGGGAAGGCTCCGAGCGGGGTTCCAAACGCGAATGCGTGGATTTGCCGAAAACATCGTAAATACCATGTGTTTTTGCGTTTTTGGAGGGCCGCCAAACGCCCTGGAGGGCTCATGATGCGTGACCCGGCTCGCACCACCGACCCTGCTTTTTAACGTTGGGCGAACATGCGAAAAAAGACCTTATACCTCAAGTTTTGGGGGGGTACCCCCCCCAACAGGCGCGAGCATCATGAGGCCACAGGAGGGCCCGGGCACCTCAGTAAAGCCAGAATACACCGTAAATACCGTGTTTTTCGTGTGTTTCGACACACACCTCCTTTCGGGGCACTGCCGCGCCTCCACGGTGAGCATCATTGACACCCAAGGCCTCGGGGGCGTCAGCCGACGCCCGCGAGACGCACCCACAGGTGCGCATCATGAGCCCTTCATTTCTCCAGGGCCCTCGGGTCCCAGCTCCGGAGCCTCGGCTGATGCTCATGAGGGCCTCGCTGATGCTCATGATGCTGGCTTGGGGGGGTCCGAGGGGCCGGAAACGCGGTAAATACCGTGTTTTTTGCGCGTTGCGCGAAAAACTGTTCAAAAGCTCCTCGTTATGGCTGCCGTGTATGCACGCAGCGCCAAACCTCGGAGAAAGCGTGCTTTTCTCGCTGTTGCGCGCGCGCGCACGCAGAGGATTATATGTAGGGTTTCGGCTGTCGCTTCCTGTTCTTTCTTCTCTTCTGCTTCCTGTTCATTGTTTTTTTTCTTATCTGTTTCTTTTTATTCCTTGTATTATTCTGTTCTTCATTCTTTTTGTTCTTCTTCTTTCCCTTCTTCTTCTTATTTTTTCTTCCTTTTTATTATTTAGTTTTTTTGTGCTTCTTCTTTTCCTTCTTCTTTCTTTTATTATTCTTCTGCTTCTTCTTCTTCTTTCTTTTCTTATTCTTCCTTTTCTTCTTTCTTTTCTTCTTCTTCTTTCATTATTCTTTATTTTCTTATTCTTCTGTTTCTTGTTTTTCTTATTCTTCTTATTTATCTTCTTCTTTTTCTTCCTTTACCCTTTATTCTTGGTATGCTTCTGTCTTTCCTTTTCTTCTTTTTCTTTCTTCTGTTTTTCTTCTGTCTTTTCTTTTCTTCTTCTTCTGTTTCTTATTCTTTCTTTTCTTCTTCTTTTTCTTAATTTTTCTTCTTATTTCATTATTCTTCTTTCTCTTCTTCTTCTTCTTTTTTTCTTTTTCCCTTTCTTCTTGATTACGTCCCGACTCCTTGCGCCCCCTGAACCCCTAAACCCAAACCTGAGTTTCAGCTTTCAGACGGCCAGGCCGGCCCGTGCCGCAAGGCCTGTAGATAACCTGCACACTGAAGTTGAGAAAGGCCCCAAACTTTTGCTGAGGCCACGTAGGCCTTTGCAGGTTTCAATCGCTCTTGCCAAGCGACTTTTTGGCGGCTCCATTTGCAGACACAATCGGCAAACTAGCAGTACATACGAGTACGCACAGGTCAGCTTCAGTGGGTTTTGTCTGAACTTCAAGTACTTCGGTATGGGGGGTGGGGCTGCACAAGAACGTCACATGCGTTGAACCGCTTGGTATTTCAAGTGGTGGGAAACATAAAACTATTGACGAGGGACTGGGGACTTTAGCTTCAAAGGAAGGCCGCGGCACGGCGAGCACACATGTTTGACATTGAGTGGCAGCAACAAACGCCTCGACAATCAGCGGTGCTATGGGTGCCTTTTCGACAGCAGCGAATCGCAACTCAGAGCTTGACTCGAGGCGAACACAAGAAAGTGATGACTGTCATGACTCATGACCTGAATACCTCACACTTTCTTCCCCTCCACCGGCCTTGTGCCTGCCGCCGTGTCTTCGGAGCAGTGCACGCTAGGAGAATCGATGGAAAGGTTTCCAAGGCGAAGCCCAGCCGACTGTTTCAAATGCAGGCGTCCCCAAGATTCTCCTAAGACTCTACACTCCCTTGATGTGACACCTGTCAGCAAGCTTGTGGACACCCCTGTTCCGACAGGTGGAACAGAAAAGACTCGCAGTAACCACTCAGCCACCGCAAGCGGTGCTGCCGACAGCTTTGTTCCTCGGGTCGGGAAAAAAAGGCATAAGCCATCAGACTGTGACATACGGGGTTTTCAATATTAGGGGTACCTTGTTGGGCTCCGTTTATAAGGGGGATCCTACTATTTGGGGGAGTTTTTGTAGGGGTCCCCTATGTCTATAAGCCCCCAGATTATGACATGCACTGACGTATGACGCGGGAGGCTCGTGCTGCGACTTACTTGGAGGTTCGGGGTACTTATTATCCAATTATAGCTGTGCTTAGAACCCCATTTATGCCCTTTACGTGCCTCAAAATGGGTTCTAAGTACAGGTATAACTACAGATAGAGTTGGTGCAGAAGTACCATGAACCTCCAAGTACAACTGCAAGCAACAAGGGATGCTATGGATTCACAGGGACTCTGATTTGGGGGGTTTACGAACATAGGGGACCGCACCAACATACCCCCCCAAAATGGTAGGATACACTTTTAATAAGGACCCCAATAAGATACCCGCTATTCTCGGAAATCCCCATTTTGAGAAACGAGCCGGCATGGATGCTGTCCAAGCTGAAGGTCAATGCGGCCTTCGTTGGCACGCAGACTCGAAGCACATCGCAGCAATCATCTACTCGTACTTAAGACGCTTTCCTGCGTTTCCCTCGGAGTGAGACACCAACAGACTGGAAACCCCTGCTGCACCTACGAGTACACTGCTGCATAGGTCTTGTCCCGGATCGTCGACTCCTGTGCTTCTCTTAGGCTTGCAACATGCCCATCGCATTCCTGAACTCCCCAAACGCCCTAAAAAACTCATTCTTACAATAGGTCTTGTCCCAGATCGTCGACGCGTGCTGCTCTTTGGCTTGTATCATGCCCGTCGCATCCTAAACTCCCGAAAGCTCCCAAAACTCCCTTAAGCTCCCTGAAGCCGCCCGGCACAAAAATCGATTTTTTTCATATCCCAGACATCCGAGAGCCTTCATTCCAGGCTGCTGCCACGAGCGGCGTCAGGCCGAATCCGTAGGTCCTTTTTTGGGGAGTTTAGGAAGTTTAGGACGGAAGCTGAGGGTTAGGGTTCAGGGCTTGTAAAGGGCTTCAGAAAACGTCGCCAACGAGTGTTCTAACTCAGTAGCACAGTCCCTGAGCTTGTGGTCAGACCACACTGCAGCTCAAAGAGCAGTTTCGAGACTCCCTTCAGTGTCATCTCACCATGGCCAACCCCGCCCTCACCCCCCAGAAGTACCAGCTGTCTCTCTCTTTATGTAGGTTTGTGATGAGCATACGGCGAGACACGCCTGCTCTTAACGCCGTCGAGCGATCCTATCACTGGCTGTGTCTACCTGCTTTCTTCAAAGGCATGTCGCTGGTCAGCATGGAATCGAGGTCCTCGAGGTGTGTCTCACGCTCCCGTGGCTCCTCTGCTTGCGAAAAGCTTGCGATGCCTGCGGGTGCCCTCTCGAGGCGCCTGCATGTCGAATTAGAAACTCAAGTCCGTCTAGGACCTACGCAGGTGTCTCCTGCAATTGCGTCAGGGAAACTCTTGGCACCCCAAGCCGCTTCGGGAGCGGCTCAGGAAACTTGAACACAACCACGATCACGGCAGCATTGTCCGACTTGCTCACTTTTCCCGCGTTTTGCAGGATAGCCGCTGCAGCATCCTCCGGCTTTGCCGTGGTTCGGAGTGCCTTGCGGGCATGCGTCAGAGCAAACTGTTCTTTAAGTGCATCCCAAATTCCATCGGTGCCGATGATGACGAAGTCCACTGTATCATCGATCTCAACAAGAAATACCTCGGGCTCGTTGCTGATGCCCTTGACCTTGCTGCCCGTGTCGAAGCACACGTTGCCGAAGGCTCTCGACACCGCCACGTGCTCCTCCACATAACCCCCCTCAACTTTGACACCCAGCTGCCGCAAACGCTCTGCCTCCGCGGCATTCTTCTCAGGGGCATGGTCACGTGAAATCGCCAGGGCTGACCCATCTTTGGACAGCATGGCCCGGCAATCGCCAAGGTTGGCAATCCACATCTCCGCACCCTTGACCAAGGCAAGGCAAGCTACTGTGCCCGAAGATGTCTTCATGTGAGGAGTCAAGTTCTTGTCAACGAGGTGTTTCATGATTTCCTCGTCCGCGGCTCTGAAGGCAGCCTTGATGGCGCCCTCCACATCCTCGGCATCGCGGAGGTACCTTCCCAGAATTCCTGGGATTATCTCCTTTGCCACCGTGACAGCTTGACATCCTGCATGTCCGTCGTAGGCCGCAAAGAGCCTGTATCCGGCGACGTCCTCCTGGATGTCCACTGCGTCCTCCATGCGGGAGCGTTCGTTCTTGGCTACTGCGTAGCCATACTCACTTCCTCCTCCAGATTCCTCCTCCGGGAGGAGGCAAGCCTGCTTGTCCCTACCGAAGCAGGTGCACAGCTGGCTCAGCAGCCACCACATTCCGCCTTATGGAAGCGGGTTGGGGAGTGCACCTACAGCTGCAGCACCTCGATCCGGGCACGGCGATGCAGCACAGAGGTGTGATGCCGGCAAGAAACTGACTGGAGAAACCCGACCAGGAAATGATCCGGAACCTCCTGTTTCTTCCAACACCGATGTGTAGCAAAAAATGCTAGGGGCTGCTAACCTGGTGCTCGGAAGGTGACCTAGTGCGCACGCCCTGGCTTGGGTCACAGACACAACAGCACACGCATACCAGGTGGAGTTACTGGCTCCACAGAAGTCCTTGTTCAGCAGCAAAGTACCGAACGAAGTGAGGTACCGCCTTGGAAGCGACAACAGCTAAGCAAGGCAACCATATCAGTTCAAGGATCTTGCGCGTTGCAGCTTGTCGACACGCTGTTCAGGTTGCTGAACTTCTCTCCCATTGCAGCTTTGTCTTCGAGGTATACAGGCACCTTTGCACGTAGCTGGGCACCCCACGCAGTTGTGCTCACGCTGATTGCAACCACGTCAACCTTACGTGGAGAAGCAAGGCGACGCCAACTTCGCAAACACAGATACGTGGGGCAGCTTGGCAAAAGAAGAGCCCGGGCAACCATCAAGGCAAGTGTACTTCATCCTTTTCAACTGCTTGCATCCTGTTAACCACAACTTTCACCTTGGCATGCGTATGCTCCATTCTTACAATAGGTCTTGTCCCAGATCGTCGACTCCTGTGCTGCTCTTTGGTTTGCAGTACGCCCATCGCATCCTAAAAAACTCCCTAAGCTCCCTGAAGCCGCCCCGCACAAAAATCGATTTTTTCCTACCCCGGCCATGCGAGCGCCTTCATTCCAGCTGTTGCCACGAGCGGCGTCAGGCCGATTCCGTAGGGTCCTTCTTTGGGGAGTTTAGGAAGTTTAGGACGGAAGCTGAGGGATAGGGCTCAGGGCTTGTAAAGGGCTGCAGAAAACGTCGCCAACGAGTGTGCTAACTCAATAACACAGTCTCACAGTCCCTGAGCTTGTGGTCTGACCACACTGCAGCTCAAAGAGCAGTTTCGAGACTCCCTTCAGTGTCATCTCATCAGAACCAACCCCGCACTCGCCCCGAAGAAGAAACAGCTGTCTTCTCTTAATGTCGTGGAACGATCCTATCACGACTGGCTGTGTCCATCTGATTTCTTCAAAGGCATGCCGCTGGTCAGCATGGAATCGAGCCTGCATGTCGAATTAGAAACTCAAGTCCGTCTAGGACCTACGCAGGTGTCTCCTGCAATTGCGTCAGGGAAACTCTTGGCACCCCAAGCCGCTTCGGGAGCGGCTCAGGAAACTTGAACACAACCACGATCACGGCAGCATTGTCCGACTTGCTCACTTTTCCCGCGTTTTGCAGGATAGCCGCTGCAGCATCCTCCGGCTTTGCCGTGGTTCGGAGTGCCTTGCGGGCATGCGTCAGAGCAAACTGTTCTTTAAGTGCATCCCAAATTCCATCGGTGCCGATGATGACGAAGTCCACTGTATCATCGATCTCAACAAGAAATACCTCGGGCTCGTTGCTGATGCCCTTGACCTTGCTGCCCGTGTCGAAGCACACGTTGCCGAAGGCTCTCGACACCGCCACGTGCTCCTCCACGTAACCACCCTCAACTTTGACACCCAGCTGCCGCAAACGCTCTGCCTCCGCGGCATTCTTCTCAGGGGCATGGTCACGTGAAATCGCCAGGGCTGACCCATCTTTGGACAGCATGGCCCGGCAATCGCCAAGGTTGGCAATCCACATCTCCGCACCCTTGACCAAGGCAAGGCAAGCTACTGTGCCCGAAGATGTCTTCATGTGAGGAGTCAAGTTCTTGTCAACGAGGTGTTTCATGATTTCCTCGTCCGCGGCTCTGAAGGCAGCCTTGATGGCGCCCTCCACATCCTCGGCATCGCGGAGGTACCTTCCCAGAATTCCTGGGATTATCTCCTTTGCCACCGTGACAGCTTGACATCCTGCATGTCCGTCGTAGGCCGCAAAGAGCCTGTATCCGGCGACGTCCTCCTGGATGTCCACTGCGTCCTCCATGCGGGAGCGTTCGTTCTTTGCTACTGCGTAGCCATAATCGCTTCCTCCACCAGATTCCTCCTCCGGGAGGAGGCAAGCCTGCTTGTCCCTACCGAAGCAGGTGCACAGCTGACTCAGCAGCCACCACATTCCGTCTCTTATGGAAGCGGGTTGGGAGTGCACCTACAGCTGTAGCACCTCGATCCGAGCACAGCGATGCAACAAAGAGGTGTGAGTTGGGCATGAAACTGACTGGAGAAACCCGACTAGGAAATGATCCGGAACCTCCTGTTTCTTCCAACACCGATGTGTAGCAGAAAATGCTAGGGGCTGCTAAACTGGTGCTCGGAAGGTGACCTAGTGCGCACGCCCTGGCTTGGGTCACAGACACAACAGCACACGCATACCAGGTGGAGTTACTGGCTCCAGAGAAGTCCTTGTTCAGCAGTCAAGTACCGAACGAAGTGAGGTACCGCCTTGGAAGCGACAACAGCTAAGCAAGGCAACCATATCAGTTCAAGGATCTTGCGCGTTGCAGCTTGTCGACACGCTGTTCAGGTTGCTGAACTTCTCTCCCATTGCAGCTTTGTCTTCGAGGTATACAGGCACCTTTGCACGTAGCTGGGCACCCGACACCGTTGTGCTCACGCTGATTGCAACCACGTCAACCTCACGTGGAGAAGCAAGGCGACGCCAACTTCGCAAACACAGATACGAGGGGCAGCTTGGCAAAAGAAGAGCCCGGGCAACCATCGAGGCAAGTGTACTTCATCCTTTTCAACTGCTTGCATCCTGTTAACCACAACCTTCACCTTGGCATACGTATGCTCCCTCCATTCTTACAATAGGTCTTGTCCCAGATCGTCGACTCCTGTGCTGCTCTTTGGCTTGTATCATGCCCGTCGCATCCTAAACTCCCTAAACTCCCTAAAACTCCCTAAGCTCCCTGAAGCCGCCCAAGACAAAAATCGACTTTTTTTCATATCCCAGCCATCCGAGAGCCTTCATTCCAGGCTGCCGCCACGCGCGGCGTCAGGCCGAATCCGTAGGGTCCTTTTTTGGGGCGTTTAGGAAGTTTAGGACGGAAGCTGAGGGATAGGGCTCAGGGCTTGTAAAGGGCTTCAGAAAACGCCGCCAACGAGTGTTCTAACTCAGTAACACAGTCCCTGAGCTTGTGGTCTGATCACACTGCAGCTCAAAGAGCAGTTTCGAGACTCCCTTCAGTGTCATCTCATCAGAACCAACCCCGCACTCGCCCCGAAGAAGAAACAGCTGTCTTCTCTTAATGTCGTGGAACGATCCTATCACGACTGGCTGTGTCCACCTGATGTCTTCAAAGGCATGCCGCTGGTCAGCATGGAATCGAGCCTGCATGTCGAATTAGAAACTCAAGTCCGTCTAGGACCTACGCAGGTGTCTCCTGCAACTGCGTCAAGGAAACTCTTGGCACCCCAGGCCGCTTCGGCAGCGGCTCAGGAAACTTGAACACAACCACGATCACGGCAGCATTGTCCGACTTGCTCACTTTTCCCGCGTTTTGCAGGATAGCCGCTGCAGCATCCTCCGGCTTTGCCGTGGTTCGGAGTGCCTTGCGGGCATGCGTCAGAGCAAACTGTTCTTTAAGTGCATCCCAAATTCCATCGGTGCCGATGATGACGAAGTCCACTGTGTCATCGATCTCAACAAGAAATACCTCGGGCTCGTTGCTGATGCCCTTGACCTTGCTGCCCGTGTCGAAGCACACGTTGCCGAAGGCTCTCGACACCGCCACGTGCTCCTCCACGTAACCCCCCTCAACTTTGACATCCAGCTGCTGCAAACGTTCTGCGTCCGCAGCATTCTTCTCAGGAGCGTGGTCACGTGAAATCGCCAGGGCTGACCCATCTTTGGACAGCATGGCCCGGCAATCGCCAAGGTTGGCAATCCACATCTCCGCACCCTTGACCAAGGCAAGGCAAGCTACTGTGCCCGAAGATGTCTTCATGTGAGGAGTCAAGTTCTTGTCAACGAGGTGTTTCATGATTTCCTCGTCCGCGGCTCTGAAGGCAGCCTTGATGGCGCCCTCCACATCCTCGGCATCGCGGAGGTACCTTCCCAGAATTCCTGGGATTATCTCCTTTGCCACCGTGACAGCTTGACATCCTGCATGTCCGTCGTAGGCCGCAAAGAGCCTGTATCCGGCGACGTCCTCCTGGATGTCCACTGCGTCCTCCATGCGGGAGCGTTCGTTCTTTGCTAAAGCGTAGCCATAATCGCTTCCTCCACCAGATTCCTCCTCCGGGAGGAGGCAAGCCTGCTTGTCCCTAGCAAAGCAGGTGCACAGCTGGCTCAGCAGCCACCACATTCGTCTTATGGAAGCGGGTTGGGGAGTGTACACCTACACCTGTAGCACTGTAGCACCTCGATCCGAGCACGGCGATGCAACACAGATATGTGACGTGGGCAAGAAGCTGACTGGAGAAACCCGATCAGGAAATGACGCGGAACCTCCTGTTTCTTCCAACACCGATGTGTAGCAGAAATTCTAGAGGCTGCTAACTGGAGCTCGGAAGGCGACCTAGTGAGCACGCTCTTGCTTGAGTCACAGACGCAACAGCACGTGCATACCAGGTGGAGTTACTGGTTCCAGAGAAGTCCTTCTTGAGCAGTCAAGTACGAAACGAAGTGAGGTACCGCCTTGGAAGCGACAACAGCTAAGCAAGGCACGCCGTTCAGGTTGCTGAACTTCTCTCCCATTGCAGCTTTGTCTTCGAGTATACAGATTTTACAGGCACCTTTGTGCATAGCTGGGCACCCCACGCAGTTGTGCTCGCGCTGACTGCAACCTCGTCAACCTAACGCGCTGAGAAGCAAGGCGACAGCAATTTTGCAAACATAGACAAAGGCAGTGACTTGATCCTTTTCGACTGCTTGCATCCTACTGACAAGCTGCTTTTCTATCTACTCCGCCCTGCATGCAGATATTGCATGAACTCGGCAATTGTACTTGCTACTTGTGTCGTGAGGTGCCCTTCAGAGGAGGATTTTCACGCTTGCAATCGGGCGGGGCGCGACCCTGCAACTGCAAGGATGCTAGCGTTTGCATTAAATCCCCATTTGCCTCCGACCACTGCCCACGGGTTCCACACGGATTCTGAGTTTGAGAAACGAGCCGCCATGGACGCGGTCCAAGCCGAAGGTTCATGCGGCCGTGGACGCGAAGACTCGGAGCATGCCGAAGAACTAAACTGTATTTGACGTTTTCGCGTTGTTTCCCTGCGCATGGGGCACCGGCAGACTGGACACCCCTGCTGCGCCCACGGTACGTTACCATGCTCCATTCTCACAATAGGTCTTGTCCCAGATCGTGGACTCTTGTGCTCTTAGGCTTGTATCACGCCCATCGCATCCTAAACTCCCTAAACGCCCTAAAACTCCCTAAGCTCCCTCAAGCTCCCACAACTCCCGAAAGCTCCCACAACTCCCGAAAAGATCCCAAAACTCCCTCACCCAGCCATCCCAGAGCCTTCATTCCAGGCTGCCGCCACGAGCGGTTCCGTAGGTCCTTCTTTGGGGAGTTTAAAGGAAGTTGAGGACGGAAGCTGAAGGTTAGTGTTAAAGGGCTTCAGAAAACGTCGCAAACGAGTGGTCTAACTCAGTAACACAGTCCCTCAGCTTGTGGTCTGACCACACTGCAGCTCAAAGAGCAGTTTCGAGACTCCCTTCAGTGTCATCTCACCAGGGCCAACCCCGCACTCACCCCGAAGTAGCAGCTGTCTCTCCCTTTACATAGGTTTGTAATGAGCATACAGCGAGACACGCTTCCTCTTAATGCCGTGGAACGACCCTGTGCGACTGGCTGTGTCCACTTGCTTGCTTCAAAGGCGTGTCGCTGGTCGGCATCGCCAGGAGGTGTGTCCTGACTCGCCTGATCACGCTCCCGCGGCTCCAGTTCTCGCAAACAGCTGGCGACGCCTGCAGGTGCCCTCTCGAGGCGCCTGCATGTCGAATTACAAACTCACGTCCGTCTAGTACCTACGCAGGTGTCTCCTGCAACTGCGTCAAGGAAACTCTTGGCACCCCAGGCCGCTTCGGGAGCGGCTCAGGAAACTTGAACAAAGCCACCTGAGCCGCTCCCGAAGCGGCCTGAGGTGCCAAGAGTTTCCTTGACGCAGTTGCAGGAGACACCTGCGTAGGTACTAGACGGACGTGAGTTTGTAATTCTGTCTCCTGCAACTGCGTCAAGGAAACTCTTGGCACCCCAGGCCGCTTCGGGAGCAGCTCAGGAAACTTGAACATAACCACGATCACGGCAGAATTGTCCGACTTGCTCACTTTTCCCGCGCTTTGCAGGATAGCCGCTGCAGCATCCTCCGGCTTTGCCGCGGTTCGGAGTGCCTTGCGGGCATGCGTCAGACCAAGCTGCTCTTTAAGTGCATCCCAAATTCCATCCGTGCCGATGATGACGAAGTCAACTGCGCCATCGATCTTCGCAGAAAATGCCTCGGGCTCGCTGCTGATGCCCTCAAACTTGCTGCTGTGGCTGTATCGACAGCCCTCGGCAACGTGCGCCTCAGCTGAAACGCACGTTCCCGAAGGCTCTCGATACGGCCACGTGCTCCTCAACGTCAACGTAGCCACCCTGAACTTTGACATGCAATCGCGGAAGCAGGACGATCGCAGATCTGCAAATTGCTCTGCTTCCGCGGCATTCTCCTCCGGGGCATAGTCACCCGAAATCGCCAGGGCTGTGCCATCTTTGGACAACACATTCCGGCAATCGCCAAGGTTGGCAATCCACATGTCCGCACCCTTGACCGAGCCAAGGCAAGCTACCGTGCCCGAAGATGTCTCCATGTGAGGCGTCAACTTGTTGTCGACCAGTTGGGTTGTAACTTCCTCGTCCGCGGCTCTGGCGCCCTCCACATCCTGAGCATCCTGGAGGCAGTCGACGATGGACATGCAGGGAATTAAGCTGTCACGGTGGCCAAGGAAATCCTCCCAAAGATGTGGGAGGATCTCCTCGCCACCGTGACAGCCTCATTGCCGGCATGTCCATCGTCGATTGCAAAGAGTTGCGTCTGCGTCGTAGCCATTATCACTTCCTCCAGATGCAGCAGGTGCACAGCTGACTCAGCAGCCACGCACATTCCGTCTTATGGAAGCGGGTGGGGGAGTATACACCTACACCTGTAGCACTGTAGCACCTCGATCCGAGCACAGCTATGCAAAAAAAGAGGTGTGATGTGGGGTTGGATAAACCCGATCAGGAAATGATCCGGCACCTCCTTGTTCTTCCAACGCCGATGTGTAGCAGAAAGCTATAGAGGCTGCTAACTGGTGCTCGGAAGACGACCTATAGTGCGCACGCCCTTGCTTGAGCTACAGACACAACAGCAGGTGCATACCAGGTGGAGTTACTGGTTCCAGAGAAGTCCTTCTTGAGCAGTCACGCACCGAACGAAGTGAGGTACCACCTTGCAAGCCACAACAGTTAAGCAAGGCAGCCATATCATTTCAAGACTCTTGCGCATTGCTTGCGAATTGATGCGAATTGCAGCTTGTCGACATGTGTCGACAAGGTTCAGCTTTGTTTTCGAGGTATACAGGCACCTCTGCAGGTAGCTGGGCACCCCACACAGTTATGCTCACGCTGACTGCAACCACGTCAACCTTACGTGGAGAAGCAAGGCGACACCAACTTCGCAAACACAGATACGTGGGGCAGCTTTGCAAAAGAAGAGCCCAGGCAACCATCAAGGCAGTGTACTTGATCCTGCTTGCATCCTGTTGACAAGCTGCTTTCACTTTACTCCGCCTGCATGCAGAATGTATTGTATGAACTCGGCATACATATACTTCAGTTTACTTCCATATACTTCAATATACTTGAATACTTGCTACTTGTGCGGCGAGGTGCCTTTGAGCGGAGGATCCTCACGTTTGCAATCGGGCGCCGTTTCCCTGAGAATGAGACACCGGCAGACTGGATACCCCTGCTGCGCCCACTGTACGTTACCGGGCTCCATTCTTACAATAGGTGATCGTCGACTCTTGGGCGTGCTCTTAGGCTTGTCTCACACCCATCGCATCCTAAACTCCCTAGGCTCCCTGAAACTTCCTAAGCTCCCTAAAGCTCCCAACGCTCCCGAAAGCTCCCGAAAGCTCCCGAAAGCTCCCGAAAGCTCCCAAAACTCCCGAAAGATCCCAAAGCTCCCTGAAGCCGCCCCGCCCAAGAATCGATTTTTTCATATCCCAGCCATCCGAGAGCCTTCATTCCAGCTGCTGCCGCGAGCGGCGTCAGGCCGAAGCCGTAGGTCCTTCTTTGGGGAGTTTAGGGAGTTTAGGACGGAAGTTGAAGGTTAGGGCTGAGGGCTTGTCAAGGGCTTCAGAGAACGTAGCAAACGAGTGTTCTACCTCAATAAAACAGTCCCTGAGCTTGTGGTCTGACCACTCTGCAGCTCAAAGAGCAGTTTCGTCACTCCCTTCAGTGTCATCTCATCAGAACCAACCCCGCACTCACCCAGAAGTAACAGCTGTCTCTCCCTTTACGTAGGTTTGTGGTGAGCACAGGGCGAGACACGCTTCCTCTCAACGCCGTCGAGCGATCCCTATCACTGCCTGTGTCCACCTGATTTCTTCAAAGGCATGTCGCTGGTCAGCATGGAATCGAGGTCCTCGAGGTGTGTCTCACGCTCCCGTGGCTCCTCTGCTTGCGAAAAGCTTGCGATGCCTGCGGGT